TAGTGTCAGGTGAGTCTCCTCACTGTTTGTATGGGTCTACATGCACAATGCCGGCCCAATATGTTATTATGTATGGTAGGAAGACCTGGGGGTTAGCCCTAGGCAATATGTATGAAGGACCAAGAGGAGGCTCCTAGCACACTATATGCTATTATGTATGAAAGACCAGGGGGTGGCTCCTGGCACACTATATGCTGAGTAGCCTAGTAGAGTTGTATGTATAGTTGTCTTTGTGATGCTTGCATGGAAGACCAAGGGGTGGCCCTTGGCACTTGTCTGTAAGACCTAGGGAGTGGCCCCAGGCATGGTAAGGAAGACTACGTGCGACCCGTGGCATAACAGCAAGACTATGTTTGGCACATAGCACCTTACTTGATTATGGATATGTTTGTTATGTATGGCTCATGGTTACGTATGGCATGTATGGATCGGTTGATATGTATGGTATGTGGTATCTGGGGAACTCACTAAGCTTCCTGCTTACGGTTTTCAGCTATTTGTTTCAGGTACTAATGTTTTTCCAAGGAAGGAGCTCGGGGCGAGTGCAGCGCATCACACCATGTTTTCCGCACTAGATGATCTTTGGGATTTAAACTTTGATAATTGTTATATTAAGAATGTTATTGAATGATTGAGAAAAATTTATTAAGCGGATTTTAATTAATAAAAATTAAAATTTTGGTCTTGAATTTTGGGATGTTACAACCCGACTGACCAAGAAGTCGGTGATGTTTCGTTGGGGCTCTGAGCAACAGATAGCCTTTGAGACGCTCAGGCAGCGACTGTACGAGGCACCGATTCTCACCTTGCCGGAGGGAGTAGATGACTTTGTTGTCTACTGTGACGCTTCGATCACAAGTATGGGAGTACAGTTGATGTAGTGGGGGCATCTGAGAGCTTATGCCTCGAGACAGTTGAAGCCTTACGAGGCTAACTACACGACACATGATTTAGAGCTGGGGGCGGTGATGTTCACCCTCAAGATTTGGCAACATCACCTCTATGGGGTCCGGTATACCATATACACGGACCACAAGAGTTTGAGGTACCTCATGGATCAGCCGAACTTGAACATGAGGCACCATCAGTGGTTAGATGTGGTAAAGGACTATGATTATGAGATCCTTTACCACCCGGGCAAGGCCAACGTAGTGGCTGACGCCCTGAGCTGCAAGGCGGTAGTGGCTCCGATTTGGGATATATGTTTGAGGATGACAGTGATTACTCCACTGCAGGAACAGATTAAAGAGGCGCAGGGTGAGGGCATGAAAGAGGAGTGCTAGAAGTGTGAAAAGATAGTGGGTCGAGTGGCTTTGTTTGATTATGACAACCGAGGATTGTTAACCCTGCATGGGAGGGTCTGGGTACCGTATTGGGGGTGGAGTACGGCAAGTGTTGATGGATGAGGCTCACAAGTCTTGGTTCTCCATCCATCCAGGGGCGACGAAGATGTACAGAGATCTTCGACCCGATTACTGGTGGCCCTGCATGAAGCAGGACTTAGCTTCGTATGTGGAGAGATGCCTGACCTGTAGGAACATCAAGGCAGAGCACCAGAGGCCTCACGGAAAGATGAAACCGTTAGACATTTCCATGTGGAAATGAAAAGATATCACTGTGGATTTCATTACTAAGCTTCCAAGGACTGCACGTGGGGTCGATTCGATATGGGTCATCGTAGATCGGTTGACCAAGAGCTTCCATTTCATACCGATCCAGGAGAGCATCTCGGCTGAGAAGTTAGCTGAGATTTATGTGCAAGAGGTAGTGGCACGGCATGGAGTGCTTGTCTCGGTGGTGTCAGACCGAGATGCCTGGTTTACTTCCAAGTTTTGGAAGTGGTTTCATGACGAGATGGGTACTTGTCTCCATTTTAGCACCGCTTTCCACCCTCATATGGACGGGCAGAGCGAGAGGATGATTCAGACTCTCGAGGACATGCTTCAGGCATGTATGTTAGATTTCGGTGGCAGTTGGGATACGTATCTTCCGCTAGCGGAATTTTCATATAACAACAACTACCACTCTAATATAGACTGGCCTCCCTTCGAGATGCTCTACGGGAGGAAGTGTAGGACCCTAGTTTGTTAAGGTGAGGTTGGCCAGAGAGTCATGGGGAGTACAGATGTAGTACTAAAGACCATGGAGTGAATTCAGTAAGTCCGGAGCAGGCTCCAGACTGCTTAGAGCCGACAGAAAAGTTACGCTGATAAGCAGCGTTCAGAGTTAGAGTTTCAGGTGGGCAACACTGCAAGGGTTCAGAGTGGATGTGGGAGCCCGAGGATGAAATGAGGGAACACTACCCAAAGTTGTTTCCCGAGACAGCAGACTTCGAGGACGAAGTCTAAGACAAGTGGGGGAGAATTGTAACACCCAGTCTCAGGTACGCATTTAAATTTAAGTCAAACTTCATATTTTACTTTTGGACTCGGTGAGTTGGGGGCTCAACTCGTCGAGTAGGATCAACCCTGGGTTGAGGGATTAAGTGACCTACTCAACGAGTCGGAAGGCCGACTCGATGAGTAGGAGCTATCTGGGTGAAACCCTAAATGGGAGGGTTTGCACCCTATTTAAACAACTTATGAGGCTTCCACCCCAACCTCCATCACCACAAGCCCTGTTCTCGAAACCCTAAGCATTTTTGAGCTATTTTGTGTCATTTTGAGTAATCTTGTGTAATTTGGAGCTTGTGTGAAGAAGAGGAAGAAGGAAGGCTTCAAGAGAAGGTTGTAGATCTAGGAACAAAGTCATCTTCTACTCACTTTCTGGTAATAAAGCTTCACACTTGACTTGTGGTTTCTTAGATATCCTTATGGATATTTTATGGAGTTTTGGGCCAAGAAGCTTGATTAATGGGACTTTGATGTCCCAAGTTGATGCACTTCATGGCTATGAGAACCCCATGCATGTAATAAACCCCTATTTTTGGCCTTTGAGCACAAATGTCCCATGCATGCACGTAAAGTTCATGACTTTACGTGTTATATCGACTTTAGGAGCCCATATCTACCTTTTGGATGAGATTTGCACTTCAGAAATCGATTTATAGACTTGGACATTAGTAGACTCAACGAGTCATTCTTGGGACTCTGCGAGTCGGGGGTTTGGTTCCCAACCTTTTATATTTCAAAGGAATCCAGTTGATTTTAGAGGGGATTTAGATGAGTCCAGATAAAGGACTCAACGAAATAAACATAGTTTTGGACCTTAAAACCATGGGAATCAGTGAGTGTATGAACGCACTCGGCGAGTCCAAGGTAATCTCCCAACCCATGAAGATGGACTTGATGAGTTGTTCATACAACTCGGTGAGTCACAGACTATACACGCTCATATGATGAAGATGAACTCGACGAGTTCAAGGAGGGACTCAGCAAGTCAGTTGAAGATTGTCCCGATGATATGATTGAAGGAGAACTCATCGAGTTCTTGCTAGACTCAAGTAGTAGAGTTTGGTTGGGGACAGATGAGAGAATAGGGACTCAGTGAGTTGGTGGGCCCACTCGGCGAGTCGAGTCAACTGGAAGTTGACTTTATCCAGAATGTTGATTTTAGCTAGGGGTAAAATGGTCATTTTACCCTAAGATTAGTTATTGGTTTTTTGACTAAGTGTCTTTATGGAAATTATAGCCGGAGAGTCGCCGAAGCAGCAAACAGAGACTTCTCACCCATAGTTTTAGCAGTCAGACATATGAGGTGAGTTTCCCTTCAGTAGGAACGGGTCTAAGGCACCAAGGCCGGGCCGTTTATTTAGTCACAGTATGTCATGGTTAGCCCGATGCAGTTTATATGTGCAGTTTATATGTTCGGTTTATTCCGGACTTCGATTCGATACCGGGGTGGTCCGGAGAAGTAGTTAGTATGCTTGATGTCTTAGTGATTCATGCATGTGTATGTTATATGTTATGTGTTCCGGACTCCAGTCCAATGTTGGGTAAGCCCGATGCAGTTTATGTGAGTATGTTATATGTTGAGTTTATGTCATGATTTAGTTTATTATGGACTTCGGTCCGATGCCGGGCGGGGCTCAAGTTATTCCGGACTAAGTCCAATGCCGGGCCGGGCCTAATGCAGTGGGTGGGCCCAAGTTATTCCAGATTTCGATCCGATGTCGGGCGGGGCCCGATGCAGTGGACGAGGCCCAGTAGTTGTTATATGTACTTTTTATTGTATGTGGTAGTTTGGGGGAACTCACTAAGCTTCGTGCTTACAGTTTCAGTTTTGATTTCAGGTACTTCAGGTAGTAAAAGGAAGGGCTCGAACTGATGGCATGACACACACTACAGTTGTTTAGACTGGAAGCTTACTCTGAGATTTTATGAGACAATTATTTGTTGTAAGAGTTTATGTGATTTAAGATACATGTTTGATGATTTTATTTTATGATGATGAGACTATATTTGTCAAATGATTTTAAAAACAAATTTTTTTGATTTGTATTTTTGGGATGTTTCAATAATGTGACTGAATCAGGCAAAAACGTATGACCAGACCCGATCAACACAAAATCAAACAACCCTAAAAACTGTAATTTTATAGATTTAAAATGAAAAAAAAACCCCTTAAAACTAAGTTTTTTTATTTTTATTTTGTTTATTATTATTTTTTTTGTTGGGGACAAAAAAAAAAACTTATCCTACTTTAAAAGCTCTATTTTAAAAAGAGGTTCTACAAAATGTTTGTTTTATATATAACCTTTTGTTTAAACACATGTAAAGAATTATGTATATATGACTAGTATGATTATTTACATGTGATAGTTAATATGTTAACCGGAAAAATAACCAGCCGGTTAACTGAGTTTTTCGGTTTAAGTTTAGGTTTATGAAAGCAAATCGATCGGTTTCGGTTAACCTTCCGAAATATGATTTCGGTTCGGTTAACCATCCATGAACACCCCTACACATTTATGCAATGAGAGGCAGTAATCTTTTAGCTTTTGGAGCGAAATTATGTACATTGGTTTAATTTAGCCAGAGTAACATATTTAACATCATTCTTTACGCTAATAAAGCTATCGGACTATTCACAACATATTTTCCACAGGACCATGTTAAACGAGCAAAGCTGGTAGTCCCTGATAGCATGGAAGTAGCAATAAATGTCACAGTAAACCCCTTCTTCTCACCTTGCTTCACGAACGTTAGCTGATCGGGCTCAACCGTGATCTTCACACCACGAATCTTTGATGACACTGAAACCTTGTACGTTCCTGAAGTGCCCACATTACTCAGACTCCTTCTGTACTTGACGATGGTTGGAGAACTGCTTCCATTACGATTCCCTGAAGCCATGAGTAAAGGAACTGCAAAAGATGGGTAATTAAGATCTTCTACTCGGTATTTCTTTCCCAATATGCACGTGAAGTTTCCACCTGCAAACATCTTAATGGAAGTAGAACTATAATTCAAAGCGCATAGGAAGCTCAGATAGTCGTCAGCCGAGGCATCATAGACAAGACCCGGATCAAGGGCCCGAACAGGGTCCACATGTCCTGAACCATGATAAAATGCAGTTGACGGGCTTCCAGTAGCATGATCCTGCAGCTCTTCGCCATTTTTGTAAGTGCTGTATGCGGTGGTCATAAGAGCTGATCTTATAGCTGCTGGACTCCATTCAGGGTGGGCTTCCTTGAGTAGTACAGCTAAACCACTTACATGTGGACACGACACCGATGTTCCAGAAACGACGTTAAATTCAACACGCCGAGGATCTTCATTTAAGCCGGTAGGACTTCCTGTATTGGTCCAACCAGCTAGTATATTGACCCCTGGTGCTATAAAATCAGGTTTGAGTATTTCCGGTGTTACGGGATTCGGACCCCGGGAACTAAATGCTGCCACTAGTGGTGATGGGTGGATGCCTAATTGTGTTCCTCCAGATGCAATCATAGCCGTTGGATTATCATCCAACACTATGTATTTCTTTATCGCATCACCTTCTCTCTGACCTATGGCGGCGCTTGGTATGACATGGGCATCAGCCACCTCCACGTCCTCCCCATATCCATCCGTGTTGACCAAAATCATTCCTACACCACCAGCTGCCTTCACCGCCATGCCCTTCTCCGCCGTAGGATTCTGGCCACGTTCACACGTCACAATTTTTCCGGTAACTCTTCCCTCTAGCAACAAACCCGGCACACATAGATTGCTACCGACATCACCACCAAAAACTAGTGGAACGAATGAACCTGATAATGGTTTTCCACCGTAAAGTGATACTCCTCTAAATTTCTTTCCGTTCCCAAGGGTAACATAAGCCGGAAAATCACGATCCAAAGTTCCTGCTCCTACTGTAGCTATCCACGGCGCGACATTCCATAAGCTTAGAGGATCGGGCCCAGTGTTACCAGCAGAACATGCTACAAATATACCATGGGATACTGCCTTGAATGCTGCGTAAGCGACGACATCATGGGTGTAATCAAATAGTGTACCTGTTCCCATCGACAGGGATAGTACATGAACTCCATCTGCGATTGCTTTTTCTATCGAAGCTAGTATGTCACTTCCAAAACATCCCCCAGCCCAGCAAGCTTTATAAACTGCCAGTCTCGCATGAGGAGCCATCCCACGTGCCGTTCCTTTTGCAATACCAAAGAAACTAGCTCCGGTGACTTTGGACCCAACTGCTGTAGTTGCCGTATGTGTTCCATGTCCATCATCATCCATAGGAGACTTGGATTCCAATGTTTCATCAATTGGGCCATACGTAGCTTCGTATGCTTTCGAGAAGTACCTTGCTCCGATTAGTTTCTTGTTACACCTTGATACATTGAAACCTGTACCACTCTCACATTCGCCTTTCCAGGATACGGGAATTGGGCCAAACCCTGCGTCGTCTAGGCTCTTACTTCCTGGCCACACACCGGTGTCCACCACTCCAACAATCACATCACCACCTGGTTTGGACTCGGGAGGCATCATGTGAGTACTCTTTTCTAGTCCAAGAAACTCGGGTGACCGAGTGGTATGAAGCTTGTATATCACCTCCTCTTGAACCGATATGACCCCATGCTGCTGTTCAAGTAGCTTTGCTTCCTGAATAGTGAGCCTGGTCGAGAAGCCATTGATGACGTAATCATACGTATATAACATATCCATGGAGTCAGACACAGATCTCATAGACGTTGCATACCACTGTAGATGATCAGAAAACGAAGATGGCATAACCAACTTGTCCATATGAACGATATACGTTTTCAGATGGTGTTTTGGGTCTGCCACCACATAACGGTGGAAAAAGACCACAATTACCACCAACATCAGGAGGACGTTCCTGCGGTTCATCTACTCGCAACTTGTGGTAGAAAACAAGTACTGAGGTATGAGGGTATGTAATCAATTGTCAAAACAGTACGTAAGTGGTCGTATAATTAGCTGTTAAGAAGATGCTAACTGGTAGCATATATGCATGAGTATATTGTAATTATCAAGGATTTGAAATGAGAGGACCCACCCACCGAACGAGTCTGCTGTTGCCTTTTCATAAATGTCTCTACAAAAGGATCTTATTTGTCATCTGTGGCTACTGGTAGTGGCGAGTGTTATCCCAATACAACCCAACCTCACCTAAGAAAATGTTTAACACGATGTTAATTGTTCGATAGAGTGATTTAATTTGTCGGATGATACATAAACACAGTGAAGGTACATTAGTGTATATATATATATATATATATATATATATATATATATATATATATATATATATATATATATATATATATATATATATATATATATATATATATTATAATAAGACACCTCTTATATATCCTATTTACACATTTATAAAAAAATCAACGAATAATTAACTATTTATAATAATTTTTTTTTTAAAAACAATACAATTTCAACAAATAAAAATATTTTAAAAATTAATTAGGGTGTTTATATGACAAATTGAATTGTGTCTTTTTAGCCAATCTCCGGGTATTACTAATAACACACTCCTTAAACACCCTATTGGCATATTTATAAAAAATCAACCAATAACTAACTATTTATAATCAGTTTTTTTTTTGGAAAAAATACAATTTCAACAAATAAAAATATTTCAAAAATTAATTAATGTGTCTATATGACAAATTGGGGTGTCTTTTTAGCCAATCCCTGGATGTTGTTAATAAGACAACCCCGTAAATACCCTGTTAACACATTTATAAAAAGTCAACCAATAATAACTATTTATAATCAGTTTTTTTGAAAAACAATAGAATTTCAACAAATAAAAATATTTTTAAAATTTAATTATGATATCTATATGACTAATTAGGGTGTCTAATAAGATATCCCTTAGACACCCTATTAACACATTTATAAAAAGTCAAACAATAATTAACTATTTATAATCAGTTTTTTTGGAAAAACAATACAATTTCATCAAATAAAAATATTCCAAAAAATAATTGGTGTGTCTATATGGCAAATTGAGGTGCCTTTTTAGCATATTCTAAAAAGCTACCATTTTTTACATATTCTAATACAATATTAGAATATTTGTCGTTTTATATTCTACATGTAAAAGTGAATGTAACCTTAAAAGTATATAAGCTTAACTATACAAACACATCATAATTTGTGGGTTTTATATTATATAAATGTATTATAATGTTCTTAAATATCAACCCCTAACTTGATTTATTTTAAAGATTTTTCAATTTTCACTATTATCTTTCTTTTACATTACATCATTGTAGCGAACACCTTATACCTATATATATATATATATATATATATATATATATATATATATATATATTGAAAATTAAAATTATGTAAAAGAAATATAATTGTTAAATTTATAAAATTTTTATAGTAAATCAAGTTAAAAGTTGTATTTTAGGAAGCTTGGACGATTACAATTTATTATATGATACAAAACGACGTAATATGGTGAGTTAAGATACCTAAGTTTGTATACTTTTAAGGGTACATTCAATTTGCATATATATATATATATATATATATATATATATATATATATATATATATATATATATAGTTACGTTTATGTGAGATTGCCTAATTTTGTAAGACCGCGAGATGCACTCTTATACATTTATTTATAGATAAAAAAATATTTTTAAAATTCAAAATAATTAAAAAATTTTGATTTTTTTAAATATTAATTTTGTCATTTATATTTTCCAAAAATAAAAAATTAAAAAAACTTACCGTTTTTTTTTACATATTCTAATATAATATTACAATATTTTACATATATTACAAATCTAGTAGAATATTCTAAAATTCTAAAAATTAAATTAAATTATTTACAGTTTAATATTTTATTAGAATATTTCACGTATTTTTAAAAAAATGATAAATTTTTTTATTATTTTTTATTTTTTAAAATTTTTTTAGGTAAATAAAATGACGAAAATAATAATTAAAAAAAGAATTTTCGAATTTTTTCTTTTGTTTTGTATTTTAAAATTAATTTTAGATTACATTTCGAGGTTTTCCAAAATTAGTATGGTCTCAAAAAAAATAAGAATATATATATATATATATATATATATATATATATATATATATATATATATATATATATATATATATATATATATATATACTAGCCGTCTAGCCGCGCAAAGCGGCGGGGCACGTGAGTTCTTTCGGTGATATGTTTCCATTACAAAATTGTTATGTTAAAAAAAAGTACATGTTGAAGACAATATAATCAAACTATGGTGTTATTTGTTACATCATGCATCAAATAACCAATAAAAAGCAACCAGTCAAGACAATACAAAATATTAATCGTGCAATACTTCTTTATACACCACATTTGCTGTATAAACCCCATCACCTTTTGAATTTTCGTTAGGCTGTACTAATACTTTTGTATTGCAACGTGAAACCCCTCTGGACAATGCAACATAAAGTTGTCCATGCGAGAATACTGGTTCTGGAAGATAGATACCTACATATGGAATTGTTTGTCCCTGAGCTTTATTGATTGTCATTGCAAAGCACAATCGAATAGGAAACTGTTTCCTCTTTAGCTTGAATGGGAACATATCATCATCAGATGGACATAAAGGAATCTTAGGCAAAAATATCCTTGTTCCTGCATGTTGACCAACAGCTATTTCTGCATCAATAACATTTTGCTGAAAGCTTCTACATATCAATCGGGTGCCATTACACAACCCATTTGCTGGGTCAATATTCCGTAACAGTATTATCGGACATCCAACTTTTAATCGAAGGTAATGCGGAGGTAAACCACTAACACTGATCGAGTTTAAGAATTCCAACGGATAGAAGCCATTTTTATCATCTATGGCTTCATCGACACTATAGTAAATTCTCTCTTCTCCTTGAAATCGATCGATCATGTAATCGTTAATCGCATCGACACTATCATTTTTTGTAGATAATATTGCCCGCGATATGATATAATCTGATTCAGACCTATTAAATTCCAATGAGGGAAACACTGCATCAATCAAAGAATCTAATGATTTTTCTTTATCAGTGTATGGAATGACCATATCATCAGGGATGCGAATAAAACTTCCGTCCACTGTTTCTTCAACTCCATCACCAACCCGTAATAGAAAGTTTGAGAACCATGGATCAGTAAGTGCTCTCATATTTATTGTTAACCGCAACTTTATAATCGAAGACCAAAGAGGCGACATTCGTAGGCTAGAGTCTACAATTTGTGCTCGTGTCCCACGTCTTACGACTGGCAATACTTGTCTAAAATCGCCTCCCAGAACCATTATCTTTCCACCAAAAGGGAGTGCCACCCCAGTGATATCTTGCATTGTCCGATCAAACGCCTCCACCACCTGTCGCTTTGCCATCGATGCCTCATCCCATATGATTATTTTTGCAAGCCGAAGTAGTTGAGCGGTACCGCTTTGTTTTTGGATTCTACAGAATGAGTTATTATCTGGAGTTAGAGGAAGTTTGAAACGCGAGTGAGCTGTTCTCCCCCCAGGCATGTTATTAGCCGCAACACCCGATGAAGCTGTGGCGAGTGCAATATGACCAAGTTTGCGTATATTAGCAAGTAAAGCTTTGTACAGATATGTTTTTCCTGTTCCGCCAGGACCATCTATGAAGAACACTCCTGTACAATCAGTACACACATGCCTCATGATCTCATCATATGCATATTTTTGTTCAGGATTGAGAAACTCTTTGGCACGCAAATGGTCATCTTCCACAATTATAGAGCATTCTTCTTGTACCTCTCGAAAAACTCCAGACTGAAAATTCAAATCGGTGTTTACAGTCGGGAGATCAAAGTTATCAAGCTTGTTACCCATAGACTGTAGGAATACGCTTATGTCTGTAAGGACCATATTTTGTACTCGATTGACATTATCGTATTGTCTACTATAATCTTCGGAGAGAGAATTGTAGTGGGAATTCCATATCTTGCGAACATCTCCAGGATCACAAAAAACTAATATCGTTGCAAACAACCTTCTGAGAGCATTTGGAAACTGAAACAAGGAGGCCTCTACAAGACACTGCGATAAACTATCATCTGTCTCTATTAACCCTCTTTCAAGAGCCGCTTTTCGAAATGTGGGATGTCTTACGTTATTGACTGTGTACAGATCTTCAAAACATGTAGGACCCCTAACATGACATAATAACACACGTAGATAGTATCGCTCACCTTCAGCAGGATTTGCAGAAACCAAACGACCAACTGCTCGTGATACTTTTCGAGGATTCCATAGACGCGATTCTTTATTCCATGTGAAGTGTTTGGGAAAATCTTTGTATAAATATTCTCTTGCATTAACGTTATCTTTATTCATCTTGAAAAATGCAGTCAACATTGATCTCTTATCTTTCTCCCTCTCAACAACTGATTTCATTGCATCATCATCAGTGAACCTAACCAACTGTTGGTTTGGAAGATGCAATTGCAAAGTGATCACATTAGGGTGGATTTGATTAAGAGAAAAGCTAAAAATTCGCCATACTGCTTCTGGAGCGGAGACGTATCGTGCATCCTGAAAACGTTTTATCTCATTGATAACAACAGGTTGTGCATCTGGATCAATATGGATAACTTGCTTGTCATGACCCTTGTAAATATACTTAAAGATGTATTTCACTGATGTTATACTCGAGCAAACCTCAACATTTAGATGGCAGTTGAACATCATCAACAACTTTGGGTTATATGGGACAACCCATCTATTATCCATCATAATACCTTGTTTATTCACAGCAATTCCATTATCTCTCCTTCGATAAACCGGATATGTGTCCTTTCCTTGTGTTGTGGCTTCGTTGAATTGTCGAGG